GAGAGAGAGAGGGGGGAGAGGGAGAGGAAAGAGAGAGAGAGAGGAAGAGAGAGAGAAAGAGGAGAGGCACTGCATGTTTTGTAAGCTGAGTTAATTAAGGCTTCGGAACCAAACCTGGTTCATAGCAGCTAGTCTGAAAGTTGCACCGGAAGGGATCGGTCTAGCCGACGGCTTCGCTGTTCGTCTTGTAGGCCTGCTTTCGCAGGTGGGCTTCGATCTCCTCCCGGAAGACAAGCATGCCGAGGTGGGAGTGAGAAGCCTCGTTCATGGCTTTCGACTGGATGCACATGCGGTATTGCTCCGGAGTCAATTCGTCCGCGCAGTGCTTCTCGTGCCAAAGGTGGAAGAGGCCGGGCACAGGGGTCCGGACCACCATCAGGCTGCTGTGCAGGTACTTCCGGTAGAGGTGGACATCTTCTCCACCCCACCCTTTGACTTCCAGGTCAAAGCCTCCTGGGGGAAACCAGAGAGAAGGTCAGAAGAACCTTGGTCAAGGTGAAAGTCCTTGCGCGGGAAGAAAGCCACCCAGTCTTCGCCTCCCCCAGAATTCCTGAAGAATTTTGACCGTTCCCAAGGGAAGGGCGAGATTCTTGTAACATGTTTCTAAGTAACTAACAATAAATGTTTTGGTTGAAACTATTCAGGTGTGGTTCTGGTTACCTGCAGCTTCAACAATACCATAATATGTTCGAAGCCACCATAAAACGTCTAGGAAAAGAATTATATTTAGTGATTTTGTTCTATATCTTTAGTCATTGATTCTCTTGATAGAGAAGAATACTTGGTCCCTGGTGCTCTCTGAGCTCGGTTGTTTTCTTGCGGACGTTTCATTACCCAACTAGGTAACATCATCAGTGCCAGAAGAGAGAGTGGTTTGTGGAGAGGAGGAGGAGGAGGAGGAGGAGGAGGAGGAGGAGGAGGACGACGACGACGACGACGACGACAACAACAACAACAATGACGACGACTATGTGGTCCCTGGTGCTCTCTGAGCTTGCTTGTTTTCTTGTGGATGTGTCATTACCCAACTAGGTAACATCATCAGTGCTAGAAGAGAGAGTGGTTGAGTGGTTTGTGGAGAGAAGGAGGAGGAGGAGGAGGAGGAGGAGGAGGAGGAGGAGGACGACGACGACGACGACGACGACGACGACGAC